TTTCGTGCGCCTCCATGGGGGGGGGGGGGGGGGCACATTGAGGAACCTGGCATTGGGCAGCGGAGAGATTAAATCCGGACTTGAATGTGTGGCCAGCTTTAAGGCTTGTTCACACAATGTCCGGACCAGATCTTAAGCAAATTTGCAGATGCGGTGCTATGCGTTTTTGATGCGGTTTTGATGCGTTCCACTAAGTGGGGCTGTCAGTACGTTAGCTGCAGTGCATTTTTTACGCGTTTTGCATTTCCGAACCGGACAAAATGTGACATGCTGCATTTTCTCTGTCCGGAACGGAACAGACTGCGCTCGTGAGAACAGTAGCCCATAAAACACATAGCGATACATTGGGATGCATTTTGGGTGCATGAGCGCACGGACGTCGTGTGAACAAGCCCTACAAGAGTACAGAATAGTGATAAGCCAACTCCATCTGCAGTAAACAAAGTATTAGGTCAAAGCACCAGGAGCCACAGACATGGCTTAGATGGTCTATGCGGGACAGCTCAGCCAGAGACACCCTAGAAAATAATGGCTAGCATTGTTACCATTGTACCTGAATCCTTCATTCACAGGAAGGGAATCTTATGAAAGCGCAGAGCTCAGGGTATAATTACAGCCAGTTGTTGATATAAAGTGAGTCCTGACATGCATCACAAATCATCTGCAATCTCTATCTAATTTCTATTCAAACAGAGGCGCTCTGCTCTATGTTCACAACACATTAGGGGAAATGCAATTTATTGTGTATAAGGCGACTTTTCGGCTCCGGAATTTGTCAGACCCGGGAAAGTTGTGTCCTCCCCTTACACTCTGTCTGCTATGTTAATCGGTTTGGGCACCTGTGAAAAATTACAGCCGTATGAGGTTGTCAGGGTCCAATTCAGCGCTAAGTAAGCCGTATGAAGCTGCTGTTCTGCTAATGAGGATTGGAATGGGAGACAAAGCCTGCTGCAGCCGAGACAACGCCATTCCCCGACTCAGGGTTTGTAAAGGCACAGTCCACCTTCAGACTGTCTTAAAGAGGCCTTGTCAGTTCAATAAAGATCCAAATGGCTTGCAATAGAAGAGGCCCCTATCTCTTAAGTATTTTTTTGTTTCAGTGCTGAGAGACTACTATCAGACTCGTCAGCATTCAACACTTGGAGCGTTGGATGTCTTTGTCCCTCAACATGCACTGTGGTTCCTTACTCCAATCCCTAAGTCAATATAGGACTCAGCATAGAGCTAGGAAAAGAAGCCTGTGTTAGCTCAGTCACTCTTCTCAAAGCTTACACAGGTCTAAAGACTGCCCCGTCCCTATGTGACAGAGCTGGGCCAATCACTAAACACCGCTGCAGTCACATGAGATGAAGGGGATTGAGCCACATGCTCCTCCATACCTGGAAGTACTAGGTATTCTCTGGGTATGGGGTTCAGGTTGCCTTGTTCTGGCACAGTCTTCATACATGTGATGACATGATATGATATGATAGAATCTGGCCCTTACCGTACAGACGTTGCACTGCTTTCCTGTCAGACCGATCCAGTTCAAAGCCCGACTCCTGCGGAATGTAATTGGGCTGCATTATCGACCCGGGCCTGTGGATGTGAGATAGTCCGAGCACATGGCCAATTTCATGAACTGCCACCTGTTTTTTGGGAGGAGACCACCAATCAGAAATATACAAATATAACCTAGGCCACAAGGTTCATTACTACATGTACACCATACAAGAGTTTAATGTGTTTCAGTCACATATGGAGGAATTGTGAGGGGGGCTTATCTTTTACCTAAAAATGATGGAGATAAGAGGGACCCCACTTTCCCATGTTAGAAATTGGGGAGATTCCCAGGGCTGTACAATGACAGAAGCATTTAGGATTCTTCCCATCTGACTTATCGCCATCTCCAAGGCACTTCCTCTAGTGATACAAAATACTAAATGTTTTCATACGTATAAAACTTATTACAAACTGTAATCATATTACCCCATTGTATTTGTCAAGTGCCATTGTTTGTATAAAGCACTATGTAGCCGGACAGCTCTGGGCCCCCTGTGCTCCTGGGCCTCCATAGCAGTTGTATGGTCTGTTGTGGCTATAACTATACTCTTGGAAGTATGCTATAATGAGCTTTTTTTGTTTTGAATAATGCTAAAGAATATCTAAAGCCAAAAATCTAACATATTGCAGCGTACCAGCCTATAGATGTGATGACTGCATTTGTTTTTATTTCTCAGGCTGAAAACATTGTCAGCAAGTACAGAAAATACCTGTTGATCTTGCCGAATTTGCAGTATACTTGTCACTTCCTGTGAATTGAACTGAAATCACAAACACCCTCACCTTTCTTTCAAGCCATCATCTGTAAACTAATACACCGCTACCCCACGTAATGAAGGTGAGAGGAAGGTGTGTTTGTAGTGCAGATCAGAAGAACAGCCTAGTGGCAAACAAGTCTCCTTCCTATACACAGTGCAGGAGTGAGTAGCCACTCAGACAGGAAGTGCAGGATTATCAGGGAGAAATAAAGAAAAAAGAAAACTAATTGACTGAAGAGTGAGTGTGCAGCTCAAAGACAGGACGGGACAGTTTCTGTATGACTCATGAAACAATCACAAATTATGTTTTGCACCGGGACCATGTGGAATTTAGTTCCATGTGCCCAGGAGCTGAGCTGCATGCCCACATGAACCTATCGCCTACAAACTCTTCCAACGTACAGAAATATCGGTTCATTCGAGTGTTATTTTCCATCCGTTACAATATGAATTCTACAAGTTGTTAAGCCCAGGCGGTATTAGCTATTGGCTCGTTAGATAAATCACGCAACATTTTGTCCAGGTTGTTTGTTCAGCCTCAATAAAATGCTCATTAGAAAGAACAGTAATCATAAAACGCGAGAGAGAGGTTTATATCCAAGCATATGCTTTTAACAATCCAAAGATTCCTCCGTGTAACAGAAAACACCTGGATTCTTCCTGTTCATCAGACAACTAAAAATGCTTCTGAATGGCTGGGGGCACCATAGGGTCAGAGTTCTAAGTCACGTTACTCTGAGCTCACCAGCAAAAAGAACATCATAAAAATCTGCTTTTAGAATATTTCTAAAGCCAGAGCTTTGTTTCTGACTTGTCTATTAAGAGAAACAAGAATTCAGATACAGGCGGGTTATACTGCTGCCTACAGGAGGATTGGACACTAGTGAAAAGATTGCTGTATCTTGGAGCCCGGCAGGTAGCCCATTGTCCCTCAATCGGCTCCAAGAAATGGATTTTATGATGAGTACAAAAATCCTATATTGTTTCTCATCCATTGAGGGACACACAAATTCAGATACAGTCATGTTTTCCTAGTGTCCAATCCTCTTGTAGGAAGCAGTATAACCTGACTGTATATGAATTCCTGTGTCCTTCAATGGGCTCCAAGAAGTGAATTTTATAATAAGTTCACAAATCTCATTTTTTTCTCATCCATTGAAGGACACAGGAATTCTGATACAGTCAGGTTATACTGCTGCTTACAGGAGCATCGGACACTAGCAAAAAATGACTGTATCTGAAAGAATACATAGCATGCATATATCCTTATGTTTTGTCTATTTAAAAATACTGAAAGTGCAGATAAGTACCTGCTGATCTGCCAGCCCAAATGCTCCGATGGTTAGCCCAATACTTGAGCTTCCGGTATCAGGAAGCCGGGCAGCGTGTCATTACACGCCCCCGGCTTTCTGATTGGCAAGAAAGCCGGTTTCATGCTCCCTCCTCACCTGATGATGAGGGAGCATGGAGCCGGTTTCCTGGCCAATCAGGAAGCTGGGCGCCGTGTAATGACAAGGTGACGAGGAAGCATGGAGACACACCACCCGGCTTCTCGGGTAATCAGGAAGACAGGTTGCGAGTCATTACATGGCGCCTGGCTTCCTTAATGGGACTTGCAGTATCAGTATTCGGTATAGACGAGTGCCGGAAAAAAAATATTGGTACTCGATACCGAAAAAACAGTATCGGTGTATCACTAGCTTTAACCTAAAGATATTCTTAGGGACAAAGTGCCAAAATCTAGGATGGCCCCTGGAATTCAAGCATAGCCAGAAACTGCAGTCATCACCTACCTTTAAAAGACTAATGCCAGTGTCACTGCTTGGAGCTGTAAAATGCTCATCATCATCAAAATGGATGTCCCCCAGGAACCAGGCATGGGCAAACTCCTGCCCAGACCCGTCAAATGCTCTGGAGCAGCCCAAATGGCGACCTGGAGAAGAAGACACAGAATGGGGTCAGTTCTTCAGCTAGTGCACTCACATAGTGTTGCAGGAGAAGTCAATACATTTCAGACAGGGGATGGAGTCATGTCCACCCACAAGTCAACATTAGGAAAGTCCATGTGAGGGGATAAGACTATCATCACATGTATATTATGTTATATCACTTTAGGTGGTATCTGAACTTCTCGTCTCTGTTTTTTACTGGAATCTGACTGGCCATAGGTGACACCCCCACTTTTTTTTTGTGTTCATCCTTTTAAATGAGGTTCCAGTGTTAGCAAACATGCATCTTTCATGGCTTTCCTGAATCTTGTCTGTTTACTCTTAGTTATGCCCAAAAATAAATCAAAAAGAAATATAAATGTAAAAAATTAGCATACTAAAGAGAATTGTATAATTACATGCTGTCTCAGCGTATAATATAGTGTGGAGTATCAATCCTCAGCCGTCTTACAACAAATAAAGGGTTTCCTGAGAGTGAAAAACTCATTAAGAACATTCTGTTTAGTCATTTTATTTTATTGGCACGTTGTACCTGTTATCCTCTAAGTGATTATAATTTGCTGACGGTATTTATAAGTGTATATCTAAAGCAAAGTCTAATTCTGACATTTTATTAAAACACAATTTAATGGCTCAAATTTTCATCCTTGGAATTTATTTTTTGCGCCTGCTAGCCGCATTTTGGCCGTGAATGGGAGGATGTGACAGTTCATGGCAAAGTGTGTTCTGTAGTTCTGAGGGCCACCCTCTACTGCTTCACCTATACACCATAAATGTGAGCATGTAGTACTACATGGCAGAATGTGTTCCATAGTTCTGAGGACCACCCTCTACTGCTTCACCTACACACCATAAATGTGAGCATGTAGTACTACATGGCAGAGTGTGTTCTGTAGTTCTGAGGACCACCTCCTGCTGCTTCACCTATACACCATGAATGTGAGCATGTAGTACTACACGACAGAGTGTGTTCCATAGTTCTGAGGACCACCCTCTACTGCTTCACATACACACCATAAATGTGAGCGTGTAGTACTACATGGCAGAGTGTGTTCTGTAGTCCTGAGGACCACCATCTACTGCTTCACCTACAGGTGAAACTCGAATAATTAGAATATCGTGCAAAAGTAATTGCAGTAAGTGCTGCAAAAGGGGCCCAAACCAAGTACTGAGTACATATGCATGCTTGTACTTTTCAGAGGCCCGATATTGTTCTATGTACAATCCTTGTTTTATTGATTGCATGTAATAATCTACTTTTTTGAGGTTGTGGATTTGGGGTTCTTGGGGTTTTCATGAGCTGTAAGCCATAATCATCACAATTATGACAAATCACGGCTTGAATTATCTTGCTTTGCATGTAATGAGTCTCTCTCATATATTAGTTTCACCTTTTAAGTTGCATTAGTGAAATAAATGAACTTTGCACGATATTCTAATTATTCGAGTTTCACCTGTATACACCATAAATGTGAGCATGTGTGTTCTGTAGTTCTTATGACCACCTCCTGCTGCTTCACCTACAGAGTGTATACTGTGGTTCTGTAGACCACCCATTACTTATTCACCTACACACCATGAATATGAGCATGTGGCAAGGCAGTAACTGCACCTGAGAGAATGCAATCACTGTTTGGACAATACCTGTCTACCTGACAGTCAATTTGTAGTCGACTTTTGTTGAGCCAGGTGGTGCACACAGGGCAACTCATGGCCCGAATTTTGGCCAATTCAGCAAGAAATGGCTAAACTTGAAGCCATATATGGCCACCTTTAGGGTCGTTGTTTCCCAATCAGCTGTTCTGTGGTTGGATGAGATCTTTTGGACCAAGGGTGGGCAACCTTGGTGCTCCAGCTGTTGTGGAGCTACAAGTCCCATTAGACATTGGTGACAGCCACAGGCATCAAATTTCACTTTTCATCAGTTAAGAGCATTTGGTAAAATGAAAGATAATTGCCAACTGGTTGCTATAAATTGCTTCTCTTTGAAAGCTTCCCCACTATAATGATGTACATACCTCTTCCAAATCCTAGCTTGATGTCTATCTGAGATAAAGGTGATGTGTTGTCTTCTTCAAAGTCCAGAGGCATGACCTCACTCCACATACGGAAGGCTAACCTAAAGACGTATCTCTGCTCGTTGATGGACATCTGACTGCTGTACCCTTCTCCGATCATCCGCCACTTTAGTAACTTTTTGTTGAACACTCGCCCACCAGAATTTTGGAATGCCTCCTGCTCCTTTCTGTTCTTCTCGGAGTTCATTAACAAGTCCAAGAACCTTTTCCGGCGAGTTTTTGGAGCATCTGCACCTTGGCTTGTCATGGTGGTTTTATCTGCTGTTCTAGGAAAACTGGGCTTCTCCTGGCTGGCCTTTGAAATCTGGTTGTCTGGAACTCCACACCTTGGCTTATTCATGGCATTGATAGTGGCATCGTCAAGCCTGCCGGTGGCCGGCAACTTATTGAGCTTCTGAAACTTTTTCAGTGCTTCAACAAACTGGGGACTTTTAGTAGGTTCAGCTGAGCGCTGTCCTGTACTTCTTATCGCCTCCTCCATAAGACTGGTGTCTTTTAGTGGTTCTCTATCGTTGTCTTTTGTTTCATCCCAAATTACTGGCTCTGTCCAGCCATACTTTGCAAGATATTGCTGAAAGAGGTGTAAATAAATAAATAATTATTAATCCCTATGCCAAGACTGGTGTAAGAATCTAAGCACTATAGTCTCAATTCAAGGGTATCTATGGTCAAAAATAAATCTGTATTTCTGTTCTGAATTGATATAAGTTCTATCCCACTCCTAATACCCATGTCCATGTAGAAGTGTGTAAACGTATTGAAAATACCCATAGGATGTACTTCCTCAATGTAGTGACACAATTTCATTCAGCCCTGTGAATATGTACTTCTCTGTGCCACAACTCACAGAGCCTACCTCCTGAGCTACAACTTGACGACAAAACAATGTAACATTATCATTGCTTGCTGGAAGAAATGCATGATGATGGGATATGTAGTCTTGAGAAACGGAGATTGCTTCACATCAAGCAGTGGGGAAAGAGACGCAAAGCACACTGGGAATCCAAGAAGTTGGAGAAAGTGATGGGCAGACGGAAGGCAGCACTCACTACATAAAAGGGATTTTGTCAAGTAAGCTTTGATTGCATTATCAACAACAACTCTAGTATGTAATAATGTTACAATGCTGATGTTATAACAGGGTGGTATATAATATATACTATCTAAGATATAATGATGATTCTTTGTCATAGCAATCATCATTTTCAGCAATAGGAGATAACTAAAGTCCACCTAAAACTACATATCATCTAAGATTTACCCTGTCCACAGGGTGACAACGCTGCTGTACAATTTCACTGCAGAGCAAAGTGCTGTCACCCTGTTTTAGGAAGTAGAAAAATAGCTATCGGCAGGATGAACAGGTAATAGAAATAAATTACAGATGGGACTAAGAAAAACAAAGAATGCACTGTGTACGTCACTTTTGATCTGGCGAAAATTTCCACTGTAGTGAGTTTCTTTGTTGGAATTTCTCTTGATATGGGTGGAAGATATTTTTGTTTTTATAGTGGTTCATATTTCAGACTTGTATTCTGTCTTTGCAATGAAATGTGTGTTTCACATTCAACATGGAATGTACAGTATGTAATAATAGCTCTCATGTCACAAAATAAAGGCATCATGTAGGACTTTTCCACTGATATTTCTTCTGTCTGCATTTAGGTTCCATTCACACATGGCGGTAGTGTTTTCCGCTAGGTTTTTCAAATGGAAAACCGCGCAAACGTTAACATGTGTGTGGATTCCGGAACGTATAGCCGGAATATGCGAAATTCGCCCATAAAATCACACTTGGACTGTTTTGTGAGATGCGCAGTTTCGTACCGCGCGGCTTCCGCAATAGTCTGCACAATGCACATTGCAATACATTTTTTTTAATGTTAAGCGTGGTTACGCGCATATTTGTACGGCCGAATACGCACGGAAAACCGTTTGTGTGAATGGAGCCCAAAGGTGGATAACACCAGAGACTGGATAGCCATCATTGCACAGAGCAGCATTTCTCAACTTTTTTTAGTCATGGTTCTCTTTAAAAGAATGCAAAATCTCTTGGCACCCCAGTCTTAACCTCTTACAAAAACACACAAAAACTTGGGTTCCCCTTTTACATCAAAGTCTCCCTTCACATCAGAGCTCCCCTCTTTTATATTAAAGTATCCCCTTCAAATCAGGAGCTCCCTTCACATCAGAGCCCCCCCCTTCACATCAGGAGCCCTCCTTTCACATCAGAGCTCCCCTCTTTTATATTAAAGTATCCCCTTCAAATCAGGAGCTCCCTTCACATCAGAGCCCCCCCCTTCACATCAGGAGCCCTCCTTTCACATCAGAGCTCCCCTCTTTTATATTAAATGATCCCCTTCAAATCTGGAGCCCCCTTCACATCAGAGTCGCCCCTTCACATCAGGAGCCCTCCTTTCACATCAGAACTCCCCTCTTTCATATTAAAGTATCCCCTTCAAATCAGGAGCTCCCTTCACATCGGAGTCACCCCTTCACATCAGGAGCCTTCCTTTCACATCAGAGTTCCCCTCTTTTATATTAAAGAATCCCCTTCAAATCAGGAGCTCCCTTCACATCGGAGTCACCCCTTCACATCAGGAGCCCTCCTTTCACATCAGAACTCCCCTCTTTTATATTAAAGTATCCCCATCAAATCAGGAGCCCCCTTCCCATCAGAGTCCTACCATCACAAAATGATGAGGCACCCCGGAGGAAGCCAGAAGGCACCCCCAGGTGCCACAGCACCCTGGTTGAAAAAGACTGGCATAGAACACTATTGTTCTCTATGCTGTACAGTTCTTTTCTATTTCTTACTATGATTCATTAAATAACAACATAGATGAAATGGTTCTCTGTACAAATAAATATTATTTATTGCCTTCACCATGATGGAGGGGATAGAACTGAAGATGTCCACATGCACAAAACCATATTCAGTAATGCAAAGAACAATGTGCAGAGGTTGAGCACCCCATACCAGCGGACCAGTATTCAACGTTTAATACTGTTAAATATTACTGATATTTAACAGTATTAATCTAAAATGAATGCTGCACAGTGGCACTGTGTTTTCCACAATTGAAATGCAAAATTGATTGAAAATTTGCTGGAAAAATGTAAATAATGAGGCTAATAAGAGGCTAAGAACAGAACCAGGATAGTTGAGTATTTTAGTCATTTAAAACCCACTACGCCCTTAAAGCCACAAGAAAAACTCCCTTAATTTGGCCTTCTCTATTGACTCTAATGCATTTGACAAAATTATGCTGCAGTCTCTCAATTTTTGCCAAAATGTTATTGAAAATGTCTTAATTTCACTTTGCCGCAAGAAAACTCTAAAATGCCTAAAATCACAAAACTAGTATCAACTGCTTTACATCTTTATGGAACAGAAGACAATCTCAAATGCAAACAAGGCCACCATACAAACTATATTGTATATGCAGCTTACCTGTGCAGAGATGACGTCCGTTACCAGCTCAGCCTGCTGGACATTGGCTGGCTGGATATCTGAATGGTCCCGGCGGTAGAAGAGCTTCTCACAAGTGGTTAACTTGCTGAGAATTAGGCAATGGCAGCACACAATGAAGAACCAGGCATCCTGCATATCTGTATTACTCAAGACTGACCCTTCTCCTATGGATATTCTGCTGCTGAGAGACACAATGCCTTGGTCATGATCATCTCCCGCCTGGTTGCTTTTATAGACTGCTGACTTGTGATTAATGTGTTATGTTTTTCCCACCCAACAACAAAGCTCTTTCACCACCGTTTGCTCAACAGTGAAAGTGTGCCTGAGATGTGTTGGGTCATCACAAACAAACACAGGTCTCAGTGTGGTGACAACGTGTGCTCAATGAGGAATTATTTGTCATCTAGTTTTATAGAGGATGGTTTATAAAGCTCTCTGCATGGTGTCCCCAAAAGTCTCCATGGGTGACAGTGTTTTCTGACTAAACTCACCATTCTTTCAACATTATTGTCCTGTTAGCACAGGTGAATGTATCTACTGGTGTACAGGGAAACAATTCTGCAATTATACCAAGTCTTCATTTTAAAATATTAAAGTTGAATAACGGCCATCACTTTAATAGGTTAGCTCGAAAGGATGAGGAGCTCTGTCAGTGTTCCCCTGACTTCCTGTCCTGGTGACCACACAGCAACTAAATGGAAATCTACCTGAGATGGATACATTAAAAACCTGAAAGTGATTCTAACCCTTCTCTCTTCCATCCTATAGTAATTTTTTGTTCGTGTTCCACATTAATGTAAAGGTTTGTAAGTCCTGAGTTCTGAATCAAGCCTCCCAGTGCCTCAAAATTACAATTCCTTCCCAGGGCCGGTACTTGTCTATATTGCACCCTAGGCAAAACCAGCTACTTGCACCCCTCCTTCCTCCCATCACAGATTGGCTGAAGTTTGCAGGAGACGGCTTTGTCTCCAGCGATCATCATTCAATCCTGTGTGGAAGCCGCTGGTCGTGGCTGCGCCCAGGGCCAGATTAAGAGCATCTTGGGCCTCCTGCTGAGCAAAAGACCCCTAGTGTCACCTTTGCACTGAAAAAGCTTATTGCTCGGCTTCAGCAGCTGAACAATGACAGCTACGGGACCGGAAGTGATGCAATCAGTGTCACTCCTGGTCCCATAGTGAGGGGAGGAGAAAGGCGAACGGACACAGGAGGGGCAGCAGAGCCCGGGAAACAAGGTGGGGTATCAGTAAATTGGGCGGGCACTGGACCGGCCTGTGGAAGCGATCTGGCGGCAGCTGAGCCTCCGGTATTGCTTCCATTTTAAAGCCGTCATCCGGCCATACAAATGTACACAGAGTCTGTTTAAACAGGCCCGCTGCCGCAGTGAAAAGGTCCGGCCTTGGCTGCGCCCTAGGCGGCAGTCTAGTTTGCCTAGTGGCAGCGCCGGCCTTGTTCCTTCCACCGTTACGTTTTGTGATCTCAGTACAACTGTCAACACTGTATCATATGATTTGTATCAGCCTCAGTCAGATATATTATTCATCTAAAATATTCCATTTATTTCTAGTAGAAAGTAAATTTTGCTGCAGCAGACCTATTGAGGAAGAGATAGAATTTAGAACTACAGTTGAGGACACCTGATCATCATAAGCTGTGTAAGGCCCAAAATGTGGACACTTCTCCAAATTATTGAGTTTGGGTGTTTCCAGTGAAGGGTACAGTAATGCTACACCCTACATAGACATTTTAAATATTTGTGTGCTTCCAACCTTGTGGCAACAGTGTGGGAAAGACTCTATTCTGTCCCAACATAACTGTGTCCCTGTGCACAAAGCCAGATCCATAAATACATGGTTTGACTAAAGTGGCGTGGAGGAACTCGAGTGGACAGAGTCCTGACCTCAACCCTACTGAACATATCTGGAATAAAATGGAGCCAGGTCCAGGTTGAACCAGGTCTTCTGGTCCAACATCAGTAGCTAACCTCAAAAATGCTCTTTTGGCTAAATGGTCATAAATTCTAACAGACACACACCAAATTCTTGTGGAAGTCCTTAACAGAAGGTTGGAGGCTGATATAGTTACAAGAAATGGTCCCTATTGTAATTCTCTACAATGGTTGCGTAAACTCCATATTTATGCCCATGGTTTTGGAATGGGATGTGCACCTTGCTTTTATAGTTGTAATAGCTAGGTGTCCGCAAATGTTCAGCTACAGTATATAGTGTATATCACATGACCCATGCAACCTTGGTCCTTGTGTTCTCCTATGTGTTTGTCCCAGGCAGAGTGGCCCTACCGTAAAGGTACTATACTAAGCCAGCTGGTCCAAGGCATCCCATCAATATAAATGGACCTGTTTCAGGAGGATCAGTTCCCATGTTCTTTGTTGTAGGCTGCTCCTGTTCCCCGGTTTGTATTGGCTCAGCATCCAGTAGACTTGACATCTTCTTTGCCATTAACACCCCTAGAAAATGAAAATATAAATAGAGAAAGATGAGCGGCTTCAAAACTTCTGAGGGAATCATTTCTCATGGTAAGCACATCCCTATAAGACTGACACAAGGCAGAGGGAGATGTAATCTATACTGTATAACATCCTGCATACTCTAAATTAACTTTCCTACCATATTCTAAAATAAATGAAAGATAAATGAGCCGTGCAGCATTTTATGGGAACACGGGACGTTATTTACTCCACAAATTAAAAAAAAAAAAGATACAGGCCCTTAAAATTAGGGACATTCCATATAGTATGAGAGTACAGAACATTATTTACACCATAAATTAAGAGAAGTTGTCTTGACCTTAAACTAGCTGAGCGATCAGGAACAGAAGATTGGATTATGTGTTCCAAATAACCTTTACCTTTAACTGTCCATGAGGCTCAAAGAGAAGACCTTATCAGCCAATATTACTACATATAAGGTCCCATTTTCCAAATTCTGTTTTACTGCAATGTACTCCTGGAAAAATAGACACATGGAATAGACACAGTATTCCATATAACTGGTTTAACGAGTTTCTTATGTTGAATGGGGAAGAAGATTGCTGGGGGCTCTGCAGGGAAGGATTGGGAAGCTTTGGCCTGGGAGACAAGAACAATCAATGGTAGGGACAGTTTCCTGTTGGCTAAAGAAAGTGAACCACGCATAGTGTGCTGCATTGATTGGTGGTCCTGGTGAAAGGTGGGTGTTGTCTCAAAGAATTTGGTTTATTGTAATTGTAGCGCTCACCCCCTAAGGAGCCGCTGGAATAACCTGATTAGTCTGAACACATGGCAATTCCCTCCAGCCTATGTACCATATCCCAGCATGCACCATTGGTTGAGAAAAACCCAGTGATTGGCTGCTGTCCTGTACATACACTTGCATTGTCCCTCTTTGGCTGTCCCACAATACAGCAGAATCACACTCCAACCTGCGGGATACAGTCAATGCCAGACACCTGGGAGTAACCAGATGAATGCCACTTTAATCCAACCAGGCTGACTACAGCTTTGGCAATCACTAAATGTCTAGTAGATGACTGCCATGTTATAAAATATGATGTTAGCTCACCTAAATAAATGGTAAATTAAATTTTAATGCCATCATCATCAATAATCCTCATCGTTTAGCTTCCATTAACAAATGAGCACCAGTTCACATTTTACATTCTTCCAACACAGACTTACTTTGCAGCTTTCTGGATTCGGCTACATAGTATCTCAGAGGAAGTCAATTATGGAAGACATTCCTCTTCCAGGTGTTGGGTTTGCAGGTCTGAACAGGCAACATATACTGTAGATACTATATATAAAGCCCAGTATCTGTCACTGATTGAGGGTCCTGCACAGACTGAGGTCTAAATGGGGGAGTTTCTCCACTGAGGACACCAACTGAACATGTGTTTATATGGGAGATTAGAAGGGTGGGAGGCTGCTAAGTCATTTCTGGGAAGGGGGAGTAGGATGAGATGAGAAAACAAATTGAACAGCTTGAGTGCTTCTGCTGTGAACTTTGAGAATGAATTGCTCCACATTGCCTGCAGCTACAGAGGTCACGGAGGGCTTGTTTTAAAAGAGCATTTGCAGCTTGTACACACCGTACTTCTGATCTTCAGTCTCTTCCATAGGATAGTGAAGTGGGATAGTGAACTAACCAGGGTCCTCTCAGTAACTTTATAAGTCTGCATAAATTAGTCACATGTCATAATATACAGCAACTGTATAACTTAAAGATTCCAAAAAACTACCATTATAAACCACAGTTCAGTGATTTTTGCCTAAGCTTAGATGATCAGTCTGAGTCTGCAAGCACCTGCTGAACATAAAGGACAACCATAGTGGTCTCCATTTTGAAAATGGAGAGCACTAAAGAGATTTGGGAGAGATGCCAGCCCTCACAACGTTATGGGGGGAATTGATCAAAACTGGAGCAGCTGTGCATGGGAACCAATCAGGTTCTCTCTTCAGTTTGTTCAGTTAAGATTTGAAAATGAAAGAGAGATGCTGATTGGTTGCCGTACACAGCTGCTGCAGTATTTTAATAAAAGCTTTTTAGATTTTCAAAATGGAGAGCACCATGGTCTGTCCTTTTATGTTTCGCCTATGAATACCATTACCTGGAGAGGGGATTGATATCAATTCCAAGGAGGACCAACAGTGGAGCACCTGTCCCTCCTGGGAGCGGGTCTCTGCACAGACGTGTGAATGAGCCCTAAACATTGCAGTCACGGTAATTGTTCAATGCTCAGAATACAATGCACAGTCCGCATATTCTAGATGGAGAGACGTCTGTCCTGGGAAAGCGGGACCTCCTTGGTTCCTGTCCTCACATCCTCATTTTCTGCTGAATGACGTTGGTTTAACATCTCTGGGAAGTTCAGAAGAGAGTTGACTTTGAAGAAAGAGAAGTGAAAGTATACGAGGTTGGGGCACACAGGAGAAGCGATATATCTCCAGTTTTCCAAATCATTTGACATGTTTTATAATACAATCCAGAATGATAAATCAACACAAAAAAAACCCCATTGACATACACAGGTGGAGGCACAGCATTAAAAGAGGAACTCCAGGTATGCTACCCCAGCACTGCAAGGGTTAACTGCTGGTTTTGGTCTAGGGGTCGGAATGCAGAAGATATACTTACCTGATC